ACTTCTTGAAGTAGTCGACAAGGAGCGTTGCGTGGTGACAAAGTCGGCACGGGGATCGGGCCGAAGCCGTAGGACGCCGTCCTTGTAGATGGACTTGCTGTCGTGCCGGCCGGGTGTTCGAAGCGGTTTCTGGTGCGGAAAACGGCGGCCTGAAAGAGAGAATTATAATAATTGCCATGGTTAGAATCGGAATATTGACAGGAAATTGAGAATAGGGAATTGGATGATGACCTATGATAAGTACTCGGTAAGAGACGAAGAGCAGCAGGAAGAAATCGGCAAAATGTTGGCACGTCCAGTGGATGTCGTAATCGGCCAACCCGAGCCAACCGCAGGTTCCTCGACTTGATAGCGTTGTCGAACAGCATCGACCATGGATAGGCTAAATAATAAAAACATTTTGGCAAAGCTTAAAAAACTTACGTATGCAAAGGCTGGGCGGGAATCCGACGTAGACGGCATATTGGAAGCGGTAGGATCACTAACAGATAGAGCAGGAAGAGCGGCCAAATCCATCTGGAAATAGCGTAATAAGATTGTAAGGCCTTCGCAAACCTGACAAGCGGCTGTTTCCGATAGAGCGAAAACCGCGAGCCAAACGTCGCGAGCGCGCGCCGGGAGCATATCCATGCGCACCCAGGTGTTGGATGGCGACTCATCACCAGACAGCACTCCAGCCCAAACTTGTAGAAGCCGAAGTCGGCAAAGAATCCTGAGGCAATCCGCACACGTTGTGGTCGTACGTGATCGGGTCGAGCTCGGGGAAGATGTTTGGTGCCGGAAAGATCAAAATAATTCTCTCGTTTGAAAAATAAAAATTTACCCGATTTGCTGGCGGCTCGGAGAACCTGATCCGGCGGGCTCGCTGTCGGTAGATGACCACGGACTGGGCGGTCAGGGCAACGATGGAGACGACGAGGCCCTAAATTAGCTGATGGAAAAGAAAATTATAGCCAAACTCACGCCAAGCTCGGCAAACATTGAGCCCGTGTCCTCGTGCTTCTTGAAGCCAAACCATTCAAAGGGGGTCGGCTGCGGGTCGGAGGCGTTGCACTCGGTGCCGTTGCCGAACCACGTGGCGTCGATGAAGTTTAGCTAGAAAAATCTCAGGAAAAGATGCGAAAAATTTACCTGGAAGACCATCTTGGCCACGGCGGCCAGGGCGAGGTAGGTGGTGAGGAAGAGACCGAGCAGTCCAGAGGCTCCGCTGGTAGGAGGAGGCCGACGGCAACTAGGATTACCACCGGCATGTACATCGCGCAGATCTGAAGTAAGAATACGAAATTTTAAAAACTAGGCAAAGAGAACGAAAAAGCATAAAAATTTTTTATAAGACCCACGTTTTTGCTGGCTATGTAGATGATGATGAGGAAGACGATCTTGGCAATGTGCACCTCGACGGCCCGCCATAGCAGCTCAATGACGACTTCGGCTATCCGGGACAATCGCGTCGATAGGGAGACGGCTGAAAATCAGAATGTAGACGATTTTTTGCGTATTCTAGTTTTTCCAATTCAGGCGCTCTTTTTGTATATTTTGCAACCCTTTGAATGCACTAATGGATCTAGTGGTACCCCGAAATCGCTTGACGAGATTTTTCACGATGGCCCGATAGTCGGGAAGGATGGGAAGGTGGTCGGGGATGTCATCGTCCGATGCGTCAATATACGAGAGTCGTCCCTCGACATTCGACCAGTAGACAGTGGGTGGAATGTCGCGGGTCGCATGCAGCAGCATCACCCAGGTCAGCCGGCCACCCGCATGGGGGGCAAGTCACTGATGCAGGGGCCGCCGACGAAGGTGAGTTGAGGGGGAGCTAGCAGTTCAATGAAAAAGAGCGCTGACGAGAAGGAAAAGTGAAAAGTAAAAAATCATGAAAGGAGGGTTATAGAAAATTACTGTGATATTTTAAAAAGCTTAAAAATTCCGTTGCTCTAAATAATAACGAGAACGTCAAGAACGGCAAGGAGGGAGCATGAAGAAAAACGTTTATAATTTTAAAAAGACGTGAAAAAGTTAGTAGCCAAAGGCACAATTTAATGCTTTTTCTTTCCCTTTTGCTTGTTCTATTCAAAAATTAGAAAGTCGAGCTCCAGGAATGAACCAAATTCGCGAGGATAATTTAGAAAAGCGTCCACGTCTTATTAAGTTGAAAAATGCTCAAATTTTTATTCTATTAATTTTCTTATCCTTTATTTTTGTCGCTATTTTCTAGTGTTCCGTAAAAAAATACTCAAGAACTTGAGCAATACGCAAAATATCCGACGAGACAAAGAAATCCAAAAAAATTTAGAAAAAGTCAACCGCAAGAAAAACGCTGCGAAATCGGCGGTTGATCGCCGGGGGGGTTACACACCATCAGGGGGCCAAGCAAGAGCAAAGCATAAAGGGAGAATCCGCGGAAAAAGCCTGGGCCGCTGGCATGCCAGCGGGATTGGACTGCCAAGGGCCCGAACCGAGTTGGGGCGAAAAAGAAGCACCCGGAACACCTTGGTATTGTTTTTTGGGGTATGGCTGGCCCGGGGGTTGATAGTGGGTAGAGTTATTCAAAACACAACCCATCCTGTCACTTTGCAAAGAGACTGGCAAGAGACGAAAAGGCTAGGGGGAAAAGCGCCAAGAGGGGAATATGGGACAGCTGACGACAGCCATTGTTAGCCCATCGCACACACACATATACGCATTCTTTTTTGCCGGCTGGCTATTAGCCGTTTAGCGCAATAAAATGGGAAGGGTGTTACAGTGCGGTAAAACGGGTTTTAGAAAATGCAGTGAACGCCTTGAGCCTGTTGTCGGCCAGGATTTTAAAGAGCTTAGGAAGTTCTGATGTTAAATTAACAGATTCCCTTCGAAAGCAGAAAATTCAGAAAAATTGTCTTTTAAAGGGACAAACAAGGCAAACTTTTTCCGGGAGTAATTTAGCGCAGTCCTGAAAGACCATGGTCCAGACACTGCAGACCCAAAAGGCCAACCATTTCCTCCCATAACCAGCCGGGGAAGCCGACTTTGCATAAACAGAGAGTGACGCGAGTAGAAAAAGTTGCAAACTGAGGGGTTTGGGGAAGCCTTTTTGATTTTTGACCGATGAATGGTTTGTAAAATATTAATTTTAAACCCTAGCAACAAACCCGATAAACTCTCAATTTTTAAATATCTGAAAATCCCCTCAATTTTTTCCAAATCTCTGAAAATTCGGCATTTTCGCTACTTTCTCGCTTCAAATTCTATCCAATTTCTTGCAAATCTTGTCAAATTTTCTTTTCCTTTCGGCTTCGCTTCACGGATTTGGGCAACGCCTAACGTTGTATAATTAATCCTTAAGATTCAGGAGCACTTCAAAGAAAAAGCCATGCAAAATAATTGCATGGCAGGGAATGGACAATTCTGAAAGGAGCCCGACTACAGTAGCAAGCATTCGTGCCTGACGTCCATCGAAATGGCCAATTTGGGGGGGTGGATGGGTCAAGAAACAAGAAGCCGGAATAGTAGGAGGCGAGGTTCGGCTTGGGGGGGAGGATGGGAGCAAACGGCGGAAACCCGGGCGACTGTCGGCCTGGTGGCCGGATTTCTGAATTATGGCTCTAGCCACAACAAAACCCGGGACTCACGGCTGGGCCAGGAAGCCGTGACTAACCAGAAACACCTCGAATAATAATCGAAAAAGACAGGATGAATTCAAAAGAAAAGCCATTAAAAGCCGAGCTTTCCCCATAAGTCTAGTGGCGGTCAAAAATTATCAGTTTGTGAAATTGCTTGTATCTAGAATTTCAAAGCACCCTCAAATTTCCCGAAAACTTGGAGTCTAGTTCAATTGCGGTGTATTCGATGGCAGTATCGAAATCCAGGAAAATTTTAAGCTTAATTCTTTTAAAAATTCTTAAAAAAAGACTTTTCTATCACTACTTAGAACTTCGAAAAATCGCTATAATTTTGAAGGTAGAGGCAGTTTCCCAAGCTGATAACTTTCTACCCGCTAACGTAGTTATGCAAAGCAATATACTCGGAAAAATCCAACGAGAAAACAAGACTAAACACATAATTTCCCAGGGGTGCAAAGAGGTGCTCAACGGAACGTCCAAACGTCGAAAGGTGTAAGAACGGGCCCGATTTCAGCTATTCACTGCCCGAAGGGGCCATTGGCAGCGCCTCAAAAAAATCGGCCCCGAGAGGTTCCGCCCGGGGAGAAGCCTCGGGAAATTATCGTTTTTCATGCCCTCGTCTTCGTGCCCCGACACAGGACGATTGACGACCTCGGCGAGGCAGCAGAGTTAGGCGCTTTTCGTGATTAAGAAAGTTTAGATAGATGTTAGATATTCGCGGTCCAAAACATTATTTCTAAAGTCGTATCCAAGTTAAGCTTTTTCAACGAGGGGCTCAAAAACCAAAAGCTCACGTGGTTGCGCTGAAGCGCCGGCCTGTGGTTCACCGCCTGCATCTGCGCGCACGGGCTGCACGGCATCGGCCCAGGGTCGTGGAAAACTTGAGCTGCAGCATCGTCACCACAAACAGCGAGATGGGCACGAGTAGACGGACAAAGAGCGATTTGCTGAAGGGGGAAATTGAGAAATTGCTAATAGAAAAATGTACTTTGTCTGATCATGGGCGTAGTGGATGAGGCCAATGTCGCGGGTCCAGCTGTCCGACCAACCGATTAGTTCAGGGAACTAAAAAAGGAACGTTTAACAGGCAACGGTTCCGGTTCTTGCACAATATCGGGGGGTCTTTTTAGGTTCTTTCATTGCGATCAAATGTTTCCAAGATATTTTTTTTATATTCCTAAGCGCTAAAATTTACAAATTTTTAATGAACAATACAAAACTAGCGATTTTCGTGCGAAATATTCAACTTTTAAACATTTTCTTAAATTTTTTCAGCTTGGAAAAATTTTGCGAAAACACTACTTTTCTTCTCCCCACCGATATTGCACAAGCACCAAACCCACATTCTTGAACTGCCACACATAGATGGCGATGATCACGAGGGACGTGTAGAGGACGAGCAGCGACCAGTAGGCGTACGCGGTCCCGCGGAAGAAACGGAACGAAAGCTGGAAAATGTTTAATTAGCGCGCCTGAGATAAATTGAATTAATCAGATCGGCAGACTATGTGCGGATGCCTCCAAGCATTTTATGACCACTTTGCCTGTCTCAAAAAGGGCTTTCCAAGGTCAAAATCGGCGCGTGAGGCCGAGCTCAAGGATCGTGATCAAATCGGGGATACAGCAGCTTTGTTCTCCCGCAGCGGAGATGATAGGGCATGGTTTGTTTCAGATTATATTGCCCCGGAAATTGAGACAAATTTGTAAGAAAATTTTTCAAAATTTCGAATTGGCTAAAAAACGGCGTGAAAAAAATTTGAGATAAAGGAAAGCGTTTTTACCATCCTTTCGGCCACGAAAACACTATTCTAAAAGGTTCATGCCTGGATTTCGTGAAGATAAAAACATGAAAAAAAACTTCCAATTAATGCCAGATGCGCCCACCTTGAACTGGAGCACGCCGAGGGTCCAGAGCACGAAGAAGCCGATGTTGATGAAGCTGGAACGGTCGGTGAGGGCCTGGAGGAGGAGGACAACGGCAACGAGCACGATCCAGTAGACGGTGAGCAGGCGGCTGAGCCAATTGACGGCAACCGCTGAGCGGGAGGAGTGCTGGAAATGGGGTTTTTGAAGCCTAGATTTATCCCAGAAAATATCAGAATTCAAGCATTTTTAACTCAGCAAATCAGTCGAGTCAGTCGAGAGAGAGAGAGAGCGAGAGAGAGATATACAGGGTATCCCAAAAAAAAAACCCCCTCGGCATTCGGCCGTCTTCTATCGGATCGGGACCAAATTTTTACCTGTGATGTGGACCCATTAAAACTATGTGCAGCCGAATTTTCTAAGCAAAATATTGTAAAACAAAGAAGATATATCAAAATTAAGGTTTATTTTGCCGATTTCACTAGGATTCTGACGGATTTCGGCCTCGAAATGTTTAGCAAAAATGAAGAGGGCACTCTTTTCTACCTGTAGAAATTTTTTGGTTTACGAAATTCCGTTTAAATTGGGCCTTTTGATCATTTTTATTATCGAAATTGCCAGAAACTGACCGAGAAATGACCATTTTTTGGAAAATTACTCAAAATCCGCATGCTAATTGCGAAAACATAGCCAAAATTGAGTACCAGCGTTTTCCAAAAATCAGTTTTTTAGCGATAACTTTTTGGTTTTACAATATTTTGCTTAGAAAATCTGACTGCACATAGTTTTTATGGGTCCCCATCACTGGTAAAAATTTGGCCCCGATCGGATAGAAGACGGCCAAATGCCGAGGGGGGTTTTTTTGGGACACCCTGTAGAGAGAGGGGGAGAGAAAGGCGTTGTTACAAAATTTTTGGTAGGCGTCCGAGACAGTTTAAGACTGTAAAAAATCCTGTCGGGGTTTTGGATCTCGATATTTTGGAGACGGTATTTTGCCATTTCCCCATAAAAATACTATACTGTAAATGAAGATAGAGAGATCGCGTAACCCTATGACTAAACTTGGTGCATGTGCTCGAGGCCCTGGAAGGCGAGAAAATGCGCGGGGCGCGCAAGGTCAAAGCCATAGAATTTTTCGCCTGGGCGCTGCATCACCACCGGCTGAGCGGCGGATGAACAAGGGGTGGGCACAAAAATAGGCACAGGCAGACGGGCAGGCAGACATACTATATGGCGATACTTGTTTATTATCCAGCATTTGGGGAGGGGGCTGCCCTCACCATGGCACCCGATACCATCATCATCACCCTCACCCCGGTCGCCCGGGTGCACCTGTTTGCGCGAAAAAAGTTGGGGTTCCAAAAATGTTCTGAATTCTGGGCCGGGAAAATCGCAGTGTCGCAATCCATTTAAAAGGGTTGCGTTTTTTGGATGAGGGATAAAAATAGCTGTAAATAAAGTATTTTAGGGCATAAAAAGTTTTTGATTTTCGACGCGCGATTACTTTAAAACTTTGGAAAAGACTTTCAAAGCACCAAAATTAGCCGTTTTTCACGATAATCTGTGGATTCAGCTATTTTTCTTTAGAGGTGAGATTAAAAATCACGTTATATTGTACGCTGTATCGAGTGATATTTCAGAAATTGAAAATTAACCTAAAATACTTCTTCCAGTAAAATTTAGTGGAGAAAAAGTGTATAGTAAAAATAAACAAGACCAAAAGTGAAAAACCATTGTGGTCTGTGAAAAAGACGCTACAGCGAGCGAAATTTTCGAATTTAAAAATTTGCCAATAATACTTTTTCAACTATATTTAAAGGGGACAAAGGGCATATTAAAAAAACTAGACTAAAAGTGAAACACGCGCGGAGAGAACTACCGCAGTCATGTGTGTTTGTGGGAATGAGATGTCGAGATCTAGGACAAATCGAGCCATCGATGATCCGGAAGAGGAGTCGGGCGAGATTGATTCGTGGCGAGGATAAACGCGGCCGTCAGCCGCCGGATGCAAAAGCAAAAACCGGGGGATTCCAGGCGCGGGGAGGCTGATGATGGTAGAGGAGGGGAAGCCGAGGGGGAGGCGGAGGGATCTGACGGGCAGTGGATAAACATCACACGACGTGGAAATAACCAATCCTCGCCTGCCCGCCTCGCACATTGCGCCCAGGGTGTATGTGTTTGTGGTGTGGCTGATGTTGTGGCTGCGATAGATCAGGGGGGAACGGTGCTCCTGGGCAAACAGAGGCGCGCGCAAAAATCGGCATCGCCTTCCGGGCGAGACATCAAATTTTAGGCGATTTTGGGGTGGGGGGGATGAGTCAGCGATGCCAGATGTCTAGCGAAAAATCTTAGAAAAACATTTTCACAGGGCTACCGAAGGGAGCGGAAAGTGCCCAAGCTGAAATTACTGCAATTTGAATCCCTCTAAAGGGACCGGGAAGCCATGGATTTCTTCGCGCAGATGATACGTGCGTAACTCTTGCTTTTCCATTGCGTAATGGATTCAAATCTAGCTAAATCCATAGCCTTGTCCCCCCTTTCAAAACGTTATAATTTTACCGAAAACGAGAGAATCATAAATTTTTAAAATTATGAAAATTTGACGACTCAAAATCCATGGTCTTTCCTTGCGCGCTAAAAGAGGACGTACAAAATAGCCAAAACACCGACTCATGCCTTACCTGCCCCTTTAAAAACGTCTTTAAAATCCTAGAACGAGTAAAAGACAGTAAATAGCGATCGGAAAAGCCGACGAGTTGTTGCAGAAAAAGAGAAGAAGAAGACAAAGTCAATTTTACCTGGGTCTGTGCACTCGCGCTCACCGACGGCCGATGACTGCCAAAGGTACCGTAATTCAGACGGCGCTGCTTCTCGTGCTCTGAAAATAGCCGATTGACAAACAAAAGCAACCGTCTAGATTTCAAAAATTCGGGCAACGATCTGGGACAATCGATTTGAGTCATTGTCAAACAAAAGCTGGACACAGGGACCAACGGCGACCGCCAAACGAACGGGGCAACAACTCACCGGTCAGTCGGCTGTAGTAGACGTCGCGACGCTTGAGGCGGTGGAGCAAGAAGATCGGAAGACTGAGAATCACCTGGAAAAGGTGGAACTTCGTTTTCAAGTCTAGACCAAAAACCAACAGATTTAAAACGGGAATTTTTCAAAAGCCTTTCTTTTCTTTTCCAGGCCAAGATTAGCCCCTCAAAACACCCCAACGAAAAGCCAATTTCCAAAATATCCCCTCAAAGCCCTTGGAATCCAGTGACTCATCCAATCTGCGATTTGCGACCGACGCCGACCACGTAAAAAGTTGATTACCCACGATTTCGCCATTGACAGCGGCGGCCCAAAATAATTGAAACCAGTTCCCCAACGCCGGTGAGGGGTGAACCAGTAAAACGGTAAAAAGTAAACCAGCATCCGCTTCACCCAGGTGTCGGTGGGAAAATCACTTTGCTAAAACGTACCTTTACAAAAGTGACGATAAATACGTCCGATCCGGTGTATTTGATAAAGCCGATCATGGCCAACACGTCAGCGGTGCCGCCTTCGACGTTGACGGTCGGCAACACGGGCAGGTCCATGCTCCAGATGTATTGGACGACGAGCAGGAACTGAAAATGGGTGGGTATGAAGAGGCCAAGATTGGCTATCATAATGCCCGAATTTCATAATGTCGATATTTCTATATGCTGAAAATTGGCTTAGAATTTGGGGATTTTCGGGGAAATTTGTCGGAGCTTTTAAACAATAAAATTTCGGCATTCTAAAACAAGCCAAAGACCACTCGAAGGCCTCACCTCGACGTACGCCAAGATAAAGGGCGAGCACGTGAACGAGACGTTTCTCGTGTCGCGGAACATCCAGATGATGCACGCCCAGGCGAGCAGCGTCAGCCCGAACGTCGAGTGGTACAGCAGGGCCCATACCTGCAAAGATGCGTGTAAATTTAAGTTACACTTAAAAATCTGACCATCATCGCCATGAGTCCAAAGACGTAGGAGTGCTCGACGAAGAAGCCGATGGCGGTGATCAGGCCCTGCGACGCGGTGCCTTGACGTTCGCCGGGGGCTGAAAAAAATTCAAAATATTAAACTCGCCACTCGAGAAAAATTAAAATTGAACTAGATCATTTCGAAAGATCAATAATTTTTCAAATTCGCTCTAACCGTCGAAAAATTTGTATTATCATATCTCTATCTATCATATTACAAAGTCGGATTGACCTGAAAAAGTCAAGGATAATGCACACGGCCGAAAAAAACCCGCTTATAACCTACAATTAAAAATGTGCGAAATCTTCTGCTTGTCGATGATCTGGCTGGTGATCTTGCGCATCGGCACATGTTCTTGTGGACCCACGCGCTCCTCCGTGTCGAGCAGCTATAAAAAAAGAGTGTCCAATGCATCCAAAGATTTTCCGGAAACTTGTTAGCAGCAGTGGGCTAGCAAAATCGAGGCCCAAAGCGGAACTCCCATATAAAATACAAAAATCATGCTGGGCAACGAAGCCGTGCGTTTTTGGCCGGCGCTCTCAAGCATTACCCTCGGGGGCGAGGCGTTCGACGGGCCCGGGTTAGCTGGTGATGTGCTGCTCGATGATGAGCCGACGAGCGTCGTCTCCGTGCCGCGTTCGACGACAAGCGGGTGCTAAGCCAAGGCATAATTTCGAGATTTAAAAAATCGCCCTTTTTGTTAGGTGCAGCGGAGAAAGCGTGTCGAAAACGGACCGGCCCTTTTACTAGTAGAAACTTTAAACTAAATAATTTCCTACTAGAAAAAGGTGTGTGAAATTACCATTATCAATTTTTCAAAAAAGTGACCGATCCTTCTTCAAATAACCTTCCCTGTTCGCCACCAGCCAAACCCCAGAAAAAGCGGTTAGCAGAAAGAAAGTAGGGACAGCCTCGCTCCACCTACCTCAACCTCCGAATTCGTCTCGTGCTCACCGCCCTAAGCAAACGGAAAATAAATACCCCCGGCTAGCTTCCGATTAGCCCAACAGAATGACGAACGAGAGATAGCCGAAATAAAACCATACAAACTGCGTGCGTCTCGAGGATCAGGGAAATGAAGGAAGCGCATTTTAGCCTGGGTAGCCCCGAGCGCAAAAATGATATGGCTTCAGACAGTATTCGGAAAAGCTGCTAGGGGTTCATCTCTGCACTAACCTCTTCGTGAATTGAGGAGCCAGTGTCGTCATCGTCCAAATAGTGGCGCGTTCCGTTTCTCGTCCAGCAGAGCTGGATCACGAGCAGGAGGTAGAAAACGATAATCTATTTTTAGGTAATTTTGGAAATGGGTTATTCGCCTACCACCAACGGATTCAAAGCAACATTCCACGTGATTTTGTCGTTGACGTAGACGTGCATCGAGTCTTCGCAATCGGTCTTTAGAACCGAAGAGAGGCCGATCAGTCTGGAAAAGTATCGTTAGCCGATAGAAGATAATAGATCACGAAATGCCTCCATACCTTGCCGCTGTATCCTCTTCGGGGAGCAATTTGGAAACTTCCGGAATCTGATAGGTGTAGACGACGATGAGATGAGCCGCGCTGTACATTAAAAGTCCCTAAAAGCACACCATCACTATCTTCTCAAAACACTCACAATTTTGACTCGGTTGTATATGGAGTGCTTGATGCCCTTGTATGTCGACCACCAGGATGCCATTGCCATAAAAGTGAGGAAGTAGACGCTGTTGAGCAGGGAAGGCTAATCAAGAAATTGCAAGTATAAAAACTCGGGGATTACCTGGATGCAACCCGCAAAAGCAACCAATACAAAAAGAACGGCATTGGAAAGACGCTTCAGGGCGATGAGCAACGCCCGGGAGAACGCTTCGATGTTGCTCCTTTGGGTGAGGTGGCTAAATGGGATTGTTCACTTTGTACTTTGTAATAAAATTTTCAAAAAGTTTGGATTGAATGCTTACCTGCTACCGCTTCTGACAACGTGTACGCTCGCGGGGTGCTCAACAAATATACTGTGTCCCATACATTGTACCACGATCAGGTTCAGGAATGCAAAAGCTAAAGATCGTTGCTCCTTCTGCGGACAAAACGAACCAAATGCAATGACCTCCGGCATGTAGCCGCGGATGGTGTCGAAGCCCATGTTGCTGAAATGCCTGAAAAAGATTACTTAAAAAAAAAACCGCCGCTTACCGAATAAAGCCAGCTTGTCGTAGCCAGCGATAAAGCTCGTCATCGCAGTCGCTAGTGCTCTGTTGGCCGTCCTGGGCTCCAATGTAAATCTGAAACCCAAAAATCCTAGTTCCTTCCAGTACCAAACCTGAAATGCGATTTGCGCAAAAGCAGCAAGTGTTGAGATCAAGAAGGCGAGGTACGCGTAAATTTTTGCCGGAGCTAAATTAGGCGATATTTTCAGGAATTTTCCTCAAAAATACCATTTAAAGGCGTTCCACCCGTAGTCGAAGGCAATATCGGGCCCACGAGAGCCAAAATGAGGTAGATCAGCGACAAAAATGACGGCCGAATGAAGGCGGCGATGACCAGGGCTGCCGGGAGCAAGCCCCGGTAGGCGATCGTCTTCAGCGCTGGCGACACCATATCAAGCCATATTCCTTTGAGATACCCTGAAAGCAAAGTGTTGCGACAATTAGGATGTCCGAAAAAACAAGTTTCTATCGATAGAGACAATCAAAACCAGACCGGAAGTCGTTAGAGGTGGTGGTGGCTTGGGTTTGTTAGTAGGGCTCTCCATTTTCCAATTTTACAAAGGTCTCAGCATTGGGCTAGTGCCAAAAAGTTCGGATACAGATCCAGCTAGAAATCGGCTGCCCAAAAAGCAAATAACAGACTGTGGCCGGGCCGCAAAAGGAGAGCCCTGTTCGCTGTGCTGAGCCCGGGCAACGTGATTCACAAAACAAATTGACTGTCTGGCAGGCAGATTTTTGCGGTTGAGAGAGGCAGAGAAAATGGTTTTTGTTTTGGTCGTGTACATGTGATAGGCAGGAGTCAACACCTAATTAGGGTACGGAGGTTCGGGGCACATCGCCGGGAACACGACCCGATAACGGTGAGCGGGATCGATATCGGATCGCTAGTTTTCTGGATGGATGCGTGCAGCAGGGCCCCCGTGTACAGGCGGCCGGGTATTGACAATGTGCTTGACTTCCAAATCATTCACGATCGCCGCATGATTGCCTTTTTAGCTGTCCCCGCATGACGATTCCATGCAGCTAGAGAAAAAGCATAACTGTTTTTCAAGCGTGCCTACCCTGCATTCGCGCTAATTTTAAAAGTTATGTCGAAATCCGTTTCGCAACTTCTTCTTCCACAGAGGTCGTTGCAAAGAATTCATTAAAGGGACACGGCTCGTCAGGCCTTACCAAAAACGCACTTCTGGGGGGTGCGGGCCCTCTCCCCGCGGATAGTGGGTTAACCTCCCAGGCGAGCCCCCCACACCCCCCGGGTTCGATTCCTCTCCGACGCAAACTCCCTCATTTTGATGATCTTTGTTTTGCTTTTTGCTCCATAGTATCACCGAAAGTCTACTGTATCACAAAATCAAATAAAACCCGCGAAAGCGCCTCAGGAAATAGCAAAAAGCGGCCAGAACTCGTTTTAGCAAAGTAATTCCGAAACCAGTCACATTTTCACTCATAATCCGCTTTCAAGCTTGCTATTAGAATTTTTTCGGCTTAGTAACGATGTACGCTCTGATGCGTGTATGTTAGGAAAATTGAGTTTTAGATCATGAAGCTCGTGCTCCACGCGTCCAAGTGCCTGACTTTTTTTAGCTATTTTCTTACTAGGAGGTGCATACTTCAGCAGATTTCGATAAATACTACATAAAATGGATATAGTTTCCTAGAAAACCGACATATAAGGCTCAAATAATTCCGGGTTGAGGTGCTAGCTTCAAAACATTATAAACGCCATCGGACAAGGTTTTATCTTTTCCAGCACTTCGGTTATGAATTCAAAAGCATGTATCGTAACTCTACCGAACTTTTTTAGCGAAATTTCATCGTATTTGATAACAACAGGCTGAAAAACTAGCCATAAACCAGCTGGGTCGAAGATTTCGGAAACTTTAGGCTTCAAAATCTCCTTATTTTGGTGAGAACTCTCAACGCGGCCCACACAGTTCTATAGATAATTTTTTTCTCTACCAAGTTCCCACGCCTCCCAAAGATTCGAAATCATATACAAAAAGTTATTAGAATAAAACGTAGATTTTCTGGGTTTTTAATATGGGCGGCGCCGCCCCACAGAGCCCGGACGGCTAAAGGCGCGTCCTGTACTAAAGTGCCCTTTGGCGAGCCGTGGGGATGCCGACGGCATAGTCAATCGGTTACGCGCGGAAAAGAAAATGTCTCTGCGCCTCTCCCCTGGGCGCGCTCTCTCCCCTGTTGGCTACGTGCCAATTTGTTGATGAGGGGGGATCGACACATGCCGTCGGCAGCCCTTTAAATCAGTCAGATTTTTGCAGTCCTTTCCCACCTCGAGGCGCCTCAAATTCCAACATTTTCGGACACCCCAAAATCCCATTGTGATGAGTCAGTCCCGGGACGCACCCGAGCCTCCCAGGTATTTCTCGCGAGATAACAGCTTTAAACGATAAAGTTTTCCAAGACTTTGGTACCAGTTTTTGGAACCTAAGGAGAGCGCCGTTCAACTGGTTATTTCGTAGGCTCGACATGTCGGCAATGGCATGGTTGGCGCTGAATGGGGCCGATGACCAAATGTCTGACTCAATGGGAAAGACGCGGATACGAAATTGCTTTTTGTTTCGCAGCACGGTTTCAAGGCGAAAAACATGGATTTTACAAAAAAGAACTAACAAAGATTTTGTTAGCGATAAACAAAACTTTTAAACTAAGCAAACGAGAGGCTCCACTTGACGCGGATGTCAAATAACAGCGAGTAAACGGTTGCAGATTCCGAAATTGAATTTTTTTACTTTTTCGGTTCAAACTTTTGCTAAATCTAGGGTCCTTTAGTATCTAAAAAATTGTTGTAATATAAACTCGGTTCCGGAATACATAGCAAGCTAGAGGATGCATCTATGACATTGCCGATTCTATGTTGCAAAGCTTTTCTCGCTGCAACAAAAATGAAAAACGGCCCCCTACGGCCCGGCCTAGTGATAAAAGCGGAAGTGTGTAAGGTGGTAAATAGACGAGCTATTGGCCCCCTTCGGAAAACAAGCCCGTCTACTCGTCTGGTCATAGAAAGTGGCCCCTTGGCGGGAAGGACTTTGCTTCCCCCCTTTCAGCCTCGCTGTTTTATGTCCTTTCGACCCTGGTTTTGCGCAGCGCGCGTGTAAACTACCTTTGTTCGCTACCTGTTCGGGTCAGCACCGTTATCTTTCCGATCTTTCTTTTTTTTGAAACTATGTTTGTTGTTCAAATTGCGTAATTTCAGGCGTAGACTTGGTAATGGGTGATCATCTGAAGCAGGACTCGCATATCGACGGCCTTCAGACACATGTCAAGAAGCGGAGGGTAACTCTATTTAGATCTTTCTTTCATAGAGAATTCAGGATGATATTCCTGGGTTGCGGCTGGTGATAGACAAAACTTGGCATGGAAATCCGACCGATCATCGACCAGCCGAGATCCAACTAGGATGGAAATTTGAGAAGATCCCTAACCGACCTCATAAACGTGTTGTCACGGTGGAATTCACGGTATGTTTAATTCTCTTTTTTTTTAAAGGGAAAGCCGCTTGCTTTTATCGGAATTTTTCAGACACCTTTCTACGATGATCCCGAACCAGAGATGATCCCTGGGATTACTCCAGAGGTTTATTTAATCTAATCCCTAACGAATTATTTTAGTTGACCGATTACGAGTGCATGATGCTGATTTTTGCGAATGAGAACAATCACTACTTGGAGGTGATCGTCGGCCCACATGGGCACTGGATCTGCAGGCTCTATGACGGCATTGGCAACTGCTTCAACAATGGTAATTTATTGAATACTTTCTTGAAAGTTGACCCTTTAGGCGAAGAGCTAGAGCTGGTGGTTCACAACCAATGGGTCGGCGGCGATCTTTGGAATTGCAGTTTCGAAGTACCTTTGGCCTACTTTCCCGCAAGTTCGTTTTTTTGCGAAGAGCGTTTACTTGCTTGCAAGTACTTTGAGTCACACAATTCATAATTTTTACAGATATCTACAAAATGAACGCCTTCACCCTCCATGGGCCCGAAGAAGAGCGCGTGATCGAGGCGTTGCGGCCGGTCAGCGATGGAAACGATGAAACACCGGATTTTCATAGAATCGAATTTTATAAGTACGTTTTATTAAAATTCAAAAATGTTTTTATAGGAGAATCGACAAGGCAAAGTTTATCCCAATGCCCTACGGCGGAATCCCGTTCAAGGACTGGAAATACGGCGATCTCTGGGAAGGCCATTATTGATCTACAATTTAATGCGATTTTCTAACGGGTACTACCTTTTTTGTTACTTCACCTTTGATTACTCTCACCGTAACTTTGCCATTATGTGTATTTATTTTCCCCGTTTGTTGTTGTTGTGGGATGGGGCGACTTCGAATTGTCTCTTTATTGCGAACTCATTTTGTTGACGTTGAATAAGAAATTTTTCATGAACGGCCATTGTGAAAATGCCTAGTTTATATCACAGTACATCAGAGTCGGGCATACGAGGAGACACTGGGGTGATCGGACGAAATTGGCGAAAGACGAACGTTAGTTTTTGTTTGAAGGAAAATGGTGGCATTGGCGCATTTCGAATTTGACAGATTAGATTGGTTTAGCACATTTTGCAGTGATAGTTGAGGAAAATGAGGCACACCGCCATCCCGCCCACCGACAGCGGGATTATGACGAGCAGGACGATAAGAGAAGAACGTTGATTCCGGACGCCTTCCTCACCCTAAATTCCGTTTTCATTACAACAGAGAGACGGGGGTTATAGGCTGTACGGCCAGGAAATGAAGAATGTTCCCGAATCATCAATCCTTGATAGCAAGTAGCCCGGAGGTGCGATTAAAAAGATTAACAGAAATTTGAGTTAGATGTTGTTTGGGGGAAATAAGCCGTGCTGCTAGGATTTGTGCTCTCTCACCTTTGTTTTATTATGCTCTGGCTGTATCGTATGATCGGTTTGGGGAAACGACACTTGGACTAACCTGATGCACCGGGTGCATCGGATCGCTGTAGGTGAAGACGGCTTCGTCGCGGTTATTTGGCGCCTCGTCGAGGGACGTACGCAAATAGGCGAATGTGTTGCAGAAATCTTCCGTACAAGTGCACATCTGAAACTTCACATTTTGATTTCGGCTAAAATTTTGGAGTTTTTTGAGTAGCTCCAAGGTGCAAAATTAAATTTTGCTTTTGTTGTTGTTGTTATTGATTTGATGCGTTGAGTCCAAATTTTACCCTTTTAAATAAAAAATTTAAGTTAGTCCACTGCTACCAAAAAAAGTAAAAACTTGAATTTGAAAGCGTTTTTCACGTGTTTGGTAACCTTTCGTAGTTTGTAGTGCAAATTTAAGTTTTTCTAGGCTAAATTGTGGTTTTCTAAAAGTGTGAAAAGCGAACGTAACAGGCGCCCGAGGTCTGGGTATCTGGATATCTTCAAAAATCTTGTAACTTCGTTTCTGTATCAAGATTTTTTCATTTTTTTGCCGTTCTTTTTCAGAATTTCCCTATAAGAAGCTTTTCAGATGGCCGCCATGCCCAATGCGCCTGCCACTTTCAAGCAGAAGCTCGCCGTCGCTCACTATGTATTTCTGTGGCTAGTCTGCCCGATCATGTCGCTGTAAGAATTTGCCTACGCGCATGATTTTTCGTTTTAGATGGGTGCCCCTCTACCTGCTAACTACGAACATCTGGCCGCTGGTGCTGGCCTATTTTGGCTGGATGTTCCTCGACTACTCGACGCCCCGGAAGGGAGGAAGGTCTTGGGTTTGTTACATTTTTAAAACAAAGTTTTGTTTTAGAAATGGTATCAGCGCCTTTCTCTATGGAAACATTTCCGCGACTACTTTCCGTTGCGAATGGTGAAAACGGCTGATCTCCCGGCGGATAGGAATTATATTCTCGGGTGATTTGAGAGATTCTACGATGAATATTTCTGTATTTAGGTCTCACCCGCACGGCGTCCTGAGCTTTGGGATCTTCGGCAATTGCCTGACAGCAGCCAGCGGGTTCCGTGAACAATTCCCAGGAATTCAGCCATCGGTCGCCACTCTTGACGGTCAATTCAAATTCGCTGTGCGCCGCGACTTTGCGATGGGAATGGGTAACAAGAAGTCTAATGGCTTTTAAAGAATCTTAGGCGGCGTCTCGGCTGCTCAAGAATCAATCTCGTGGCTTCTGCAGAACCCGGGCAAGGGCCGTGCGGTGGCTGTGGTCGTCGGTGGGGCCGAGGAGGCTCTCGAGGCCCGTCCGGGTGCCACTCGTTTGCGTCTTGTCAAGCGTTACGGATTTGTGCGATTGGCTATCCAATATCAGTAAGCTTCAGTGGAGCCTGGATATTTTTTAGTTGCCAACTGGTTCCTGTTTACCATTTCGGCGAAAACGATCTCTATGGTGATAACGGGACCGAGGACAACACTCATCTTCGCAGCTTGCAGGTGGCAGAAAAATTTGCTTCATTGTAATGTGCTTTAGACAAAAATCAAGTCCGTCTTCGGGTTCGCCCCTCCGCAGCTCCGCGGCACCGGCCTCTTCACCTCCTTCGGTCTCCTCCCCAAGCGCCGCCCGGTCACCTCGGTCTTTGGGAGCCCCATCGAGTGCAAGGTACCTTTGGCTTCGTTAGACTGATTTCCGAAATAGGTTGACGGCCACGAATATGGCACCACCCCCGATTTGGCAGATGTGGAACGCGTACATGCCGCCTATTGCGAGCAGCTGAACGAGCTGTTTGAGACGCACAAACTTGGCCACGGCTACCCGGAGGAGGCAAAGCTTGAATTCTTCTAAACTTATGGTATGGTGCAGTTCCATTAATGTTATTTTCATGTCTGTGCTTCTTTTTGCTATGCATATACTCTTTGCGGCCATGAAAACTACCCGGGTAACTTCTTTCGATTTGTGATTTCGACTTTCTCATTTTGCTGTCGAATTTCCTGCGATGTGTATGTAAATACGGGCATTACTTTGCTACGATAAACTGGAGAATTTCAATAGTTTAGGGCTTCGAGGACCACGTTTAGGCATGTGTAAACGGGAGGGTTTTTGACCCTCTGACGTAAGTGTGTGCCGGGACGCGCTTTAGCAGTGACAGAGTTCCGGGCGCGCCACATTACGCATGGCCGTAATGTGTATAGAACGGAACTATTTTAATTAATTTTTCTACTTTAATTTCTCACTTCTAAGAAAGAGAATATACATGTAATAGTAAAAGAAGCATGTAGAAAGCTTTTTACTAACCAGAGGACAGTGTTTTCGCGAGTTGGGAACTGATGATTGTCACCTCATAGGTTTATACTGAGGAGAATCATTTACTTTCGCTTGGTGTTAATGTTCGTCATAGTATTAGTGTATGAAAGGAAAAGAACTTGAAATCTTTAAACTTAAAATGAAGCATACAAAGAGCCCACGGGAAAAGCTCGCGTGGCTTGACGGAAGTACAACATAATCTCGAGCCACTCCTGGACCCGCTACAATGTAAGATTTTTAGGCTTCTTCGAAAGAGTTAAAGTTTTCGCAATTCTTCACACGTCTGTGGTTTTGTATGATTCTTCATTGGCGTTATCTCCTCAGCATTGGCCATTCACAGCCTACTTTGCGAAAGTTCCTGCGCCCCTGCTTCTTTGTAATGACTGGCTTTTTGTAATTAAAGACATCGCGGTAGCTTCTGATTTAGAAAAAGTATTTCAGACGAGATTCTTCTTCTCTACAATATTTCAGAAGTGGACCAATCAACAAAAATACTGGTATAGATTCCCAAAATTCCGAAAAGCTATGATACTGACGATTAACTGTTCCAGATTTACCATAAATAGGTTCTTTTATTTATTAAATAAAAAGTCTTCTGCATACTTCTTTTACTTTATATATCCACTTTGTAAAAAATAAATTCAGAAGAAAGTATTCCGTTCTATACACCTTACGTCCATGCGTAATGTGGCGCGTCCGGAACCCCCTCACTGCTAAAGCGCGCCCCGGCACACACTTACGTCAGAGGGTCAAAAACCCTCCCGTCATGTGTAATAAGAAAGTCTTCATAGGTCACCAACCTCTTGCCAGCTATCAACGAGCCGCTCGCAGTTATTCCTGCCCTTGCTGCCATCGGCCTCTGCGCAGAGCTGGTGCAATACTGTGGCGTCTCCTGGAATAGAGGCACGGTATTTTGAAAATACTATTTTCCCACGCTAAGAAATTTTTATCCCCTTGCAACTTTTTTGGGGTGGCCCTTCTCCCATCGTTGCGACACCAGATTCGCGGTCTGTTGGAGGGCCGAATCGAATTTATCTCTGTGCCCAAATTCGGCGAAAGAGAGGGTCGGGACTCCCGTCACGGACGCCGAACACGATGCGATTAGCTGCTAATTCCGAGCTTCTCCCCCCCTACACACGCGCACCCCGCACCGGCAAGCATCGCGCCGATCCGGCACCAAATTGCCGGGGCTTCGAGTGGCCATTTCGGAATTGCGTGTCTCGTTGACTCGGTAAGTTTTTGGCGAGTGCGCGAGCAACAGCTCACAAATTACCGGCGGAAACGAGGCATGCATTAGCGAGCGCGGCAGTTATTTTGGCAGGGGCTCGCTAGGGAAAATTGGCGGGTGGGCAATCTATTTTAGGGCTAGGAATTATAAAGAGAGATTCGAGAATTTTGAGTTTTGAGTCTTAGCTAATTTTAATTTTAAATATCAAGAATTAGAAAAAAGGTGACTCCGCACCTCGCGGTAAAGTTGTAGTTGCTTTTGTCACTGAGAAAAGTTTAGATTCAGTTGCTTCTAACAGACATAGGAGTTAATTTTGAGTTTGACGCAGAAAATCTTTGTAAGTTACTTTCAAGTTTGAATTAGAAAAATCGTCGGAATATGCCTTTTTAACGTTTGTTTTCGAAAAATCCGACCCCGTGAGAAACCTAACGCGCTAAAATTATAGTTGTTTTTCCATCTACGAGAGTTTACGTTCAGGCGGGCCCCTGCATATAAACCCAGGGCCCCGAATGAGGCATAATTGAGGGGACTCGCTGGGTTCTGAGAACGACGGGTATCCTGTTATGATGCGCGGCGACGGGCCCGCCAAATGAAGTTATGTAAATGGGCCATAATCATGCCCGTCGCGCGAGTGGGGGATATCGTGAACACATTCAGGAATTGAATTTTGAGCGTTTCGAACACCTCTGGCGGTTAGGGGGGGCTTGGCAGGAGCGTGGCTAGCAGAAGAGGTTTTTTTATAATTTGCGATGCACTGGACCCACCATCTTTCCTCACGCCGATCACGCAATAGTCGCCGCTGCAGATGAGCGCGTCCTGGCAGCTGGAGCGATCGCAGAAACACTTGACGCCGGCTGCTGTAATAACTGTTTTTAGTGCCGCTTAATTTTTTTGTTTCTTTCGCATTATCGGGGGGGGGGGTATTCCTTGAGGGCAGCTAAGCCTATTAATGTATAAGCAGCGATTTTGATGGTTTTTTCGTGCAGGTTACCCATCTTTTAATCGGAAAAACTGTTAGGAAAATTCAGAAAAATTCTCCGACGCCGTAATTCTGGTCCAAATCGTCCAGTTTGATTGGAGATTGATATTTTTTTGCATGTTTGATAAAAGATGGTTTGGTTTTACGCTAAGGAATAACAAAACCGCGTAGAAACAAGAATTTTAGAAAAATTTGGTCCTAGGAGTAAAAAGTTCATTTCCGATGACCCGGATCATGCGAAAAATGCAATTTTTTTCTGATCCGAACACCCAGCACAAAACACTTGTTTCCCAAACCCCCATCCACCCAGCGATTTCCGGGATGCCAGCTCAAGCACCCTCACCAGCCCAGAACAATTCGACACACCCTAATTACTGGGGGGCGATGTGGCCCCGAATTCGGAATGAGCGATCGTCTTGCCCCCGGCGGCCAAGACCGACACGCGAATAGGCCCTACTGCCCCCCGGAAAATGGCAGGCCCCGGAATTGGGGCTCGAGATGCTCGTTTCGGCGAGCTCTCCCTTGCTTTAGGACCCGTCGTGGGATTGACGTCTTCATCTCGCCGAGGTGGCTAAAAACCGCCAGAAAAGCCGCGGGAAGTGGAATTTGTTATGTGGGAATGTTGGGAGGGCCACGATTTGGAGTCGGGCAGGTTGGGAAGCGAAAAAATAGCATTACTTTCTAATTGGCTAGAAAGTGTCAGCTGAGAAGCATTTCCGAGTTCTTTCGCGTTATCAGGGGGGAGCCGCGGTATCAAAAAACTTTCCCCGAGAATCCAATGATTCTCTAACATAAAGAAAGCAGTTTCGTACACTATTTTTGAATATTCTTCACAATTTTACAACCTTTAGTTAAAAAATGCTAAATATATCATTTTTGCCATGTAAAATTGCTTATTTCCAGCAAAATGTCAAATTTTTGGACATTTTCTAAGTTTTCTGGATAGTTTTTTTCGCTCGAAATATAACCAAAATTTACGCAAAACGCTATTAAAATGCAATTTTAATTATCTATATGAAATGGGGAAAAATGTTGAACGTCCTTCTAATGCGATTGAACCGGAAGCCAAATTTGGAAAGTATCGTACGGTTTGAATTACGGTTCTTATCAATTTTTTTTAGGTTTAGCGCTAAATTCCCCCGACCCGGGGGGTCAGTGGCATAACCTTGGCGCGTCCGGGGCGACGTGCTAGCGCTAAAAGAATCCTTTTTCACGCCATCCGGCCCCGGGTGAGGCGATCGAATTTCCGAATTCAAAAGGGAGATTGGATACTGGGGTGGTGTGGGCTGGGGGCTTTATGCCGCGAGCGCAGACCGCGCATCGAAAAGCACAGCCACGCCTAGAAAAAGTTATAGCTGTGTATAACTCGTTGGAGGTTTAAAAAGGGCGTTATTTCGAGGGCGCTAAACGGCGCTAAATAAGGGTTGGCTAAAAAGATTTCGGGACTAAATTTTATGCGTTTTAGGCCCTGTGAAGCAAACGCACAAAGCCGGAACGTCAAGTGCAGCGGTTCGTAGCCCAATTTAGGGGTACGCCACCCGCCAAATTACGCGTAACCCTGTGGTTTCTCGAGATCTTCGGCTTTCCCTCGACCTACCAATCGGACAAAACGCGGCGGCGAAGATGAGCAGCAGCTGGGTGAGATGGGGTGCAGAAGGGAGGGCCATCACCTGTCCACTCTTCGCCTCCGCATCGACGCTTTCTAGGAGTTCGGCGCGCGTTCGGATCGACCTGCAAAGAGCGCGTTCAGGGAATTTCAATATACACTACAGCAAAAAATATCGAAATGTTGGAAAATTTCAATTTTTCAAAAAATTTCTGAAAGATTTTTCGTCTTTTTGAGGATCGAAAACTATTAAAACACTATAAAAATACCCTATAAAACGCTCAGAATTTTTGCCAGGTTAAAAATACACCGTAAATAAAGGCTAACACGGACCCGGTTAACAGTCTGCGCCTGAGGAGCATGACTCATCGCCCTAAAAATTGGGCTCAAAAAATTCAACGCCTGACAAGCAATGTGATTATTGGCAGGCGGGATGACGGGCCGGGGATTATCCGCCCCGGGGGCTCGGCGCTCTTTTTGCCGAAATGTCGGATTAGGCAGGAAATAAGGGGCGGAAAGTCCGGGTGCGCTTTTGACGACGCGATTTCCGCTATAATCGCATCTGTGGTCATCGGATCAACCATTAAGCCATAGCAATATATTAGGCATTTTTATAAAGATCTGCTATGGAGGAAATAAGGGGAAAATCAGCAAAAAAACAACTATATTTTCTTCGATTTAGCGCCCTTGGCTAAAGTTCAACCTCAGAAAAGTGGCACAAAGTCGGCACAAGCAAACTTGAAGGCTTTTAAGTTTTTAGAAGCCGTAGATGCACTTAATTACGGCATAAAAGGCAAAGCACAGCTTATTTTTAGCTGTAAAAAGCTGACTTTATTGCCGAAAAATATGGGCTTGGCCTGGACTTCGGCTTGGGCTTAGGCTTAGGTTTAGGTTTAGGCTTAGGCTTGCTTAGGCTTAGCCTTGGGCCTAGGCTTAAAAGCTAGGCTTACGTTAGACTTAGGATAGGCTTGGGCTTAGGCTTAGGCTTTGGCCCAGCTAACAAGGAGTGCTTTTTTTGAGTCATCGGCAAAACCTTACGAGACCTAGCTCATTCGATAGAGAATTCGATTCTGAACAAAACCCCGTTGTTTTTTTTGCAGAATGGCTATCCCTGATTTTATAAAATTAAAATACTAGTGACCGTCCCTTACCATGAGTGCCTTTCGAGCCAAAAGAGAGCCTTTTGGGTGCAGTTTTACAATTTTATAAAATCAGGGATAGCCATTCTGCAAAAAAGAACAACGGGGTTTTGTTCAGAATCGAATTCTCTATCGAATGAGCTAGGTCTCGTAATGTTTTGCAAATGACTCAAAAAAAGCACTCCTGTAAGCTTTTTATGAAATTATGCGCTTCAAAACGGGCAAATTTTCAAAAAAATCCACGCCGATAAAGGACGATAGAAGGGAACGATAGAAGATTGTGCCAGTCGATCAAAGAAGCAAAGCGATCGGCTTTTGGCGGAATGGGGGAATAAAGCGGGTGACATGTGGCCATGTCTCGCCTGGGGCCCACTCCAATCCGGCCGCGATTTGCATTGGAAACACCTGTTCCCCGGTGCGGCGCTTCATTGCTTTGTAGCCGCTTTCCTAGCGGAAATAGGTTTGTTTTTAGTAGAAAATCACAGGTTTAAAAGATTACTAAAATACTACTAAATTAGGTTATTCTAATTTCTGAAAACCGTAGATTTTAGCTGATCTTTTATTTTAATCAGAGTTTTGCCCTCAAAACTGAGCAGTTAGTCCGGAAAAGAATTCCAGACTTCTAGCTCATTTTTCACATGAAAATCGTACATTATCACAGCGACTACAAAGCATAGACTGGAACAAAATCGTCTTTCTTTGATAAAGGCGCTGACCGGAACTCATAAAAACTAAAAAGCTAAACTTCAATTGGATTTTACAAATATAAGTTATTTGCGGCTTCCAAGTCCCTTTAAACAGCCCGAGAAACTCCAGAAAGCACACAAAAAGTAGTAAAACTAGCCAAAAGGGGTCTCCTAGCGACCCGTACGGAGTATAGGGAGTACGTGTAAACAGTGTAGCTCGTAGAAGAACGGAAATTAGGGATTGTTTAGTCTTGTGCGTAGGCTTAGGATTGGCTTGGGCCTAGGCTTAGGCTTGGGATTAAGGTTAAGCCTGGGCTTAGGCTTAGGCTTCGCTTGGGCTTAGGCGTAGAGATCAGCCTAGGCTCAGGTTTAGGCCTAGGCTTGGCTTCGGCTGTATTAGGCTTAGGTTAGGCTTGGGCTTGGGCCTCGCTTAGGTTTAGACTTGGGCTTAGCATCGGCTTAGCTTCGGGTTGGGCTTAGGCTTAGGCTTAGCTTCGGCTAGGGCTTTGGCTTGAATTAGGCTTAGGCCTGGACTTGGAGAGAGATCAACAAGTTGTTCGAGCCGAAGGCATATTCTGGTTGTGAGTGAGTATGTGAGTGAGTGAGCGTATGTATGTGGTTAATCTCCGGCTCTCTCTCTTTCTATGGGCCCTCTCCAAAAGGGGTGGGGCCCGCGACAGGAAACGCGAAAAATTGGGGTGGGGCGGGGTCGAGCGCCGGGGCTGGGACCCAGATTATTAGGGCCCACATATGGACACAGACACACTTGGGACCCAGATCTAAAAAAGGGAAGGGCTTTGAAGTGGATGCGTTTGGCATGAAGTGTGTTGGGGCGAAAAGCAAAAGGTTTGTCGCGGCGGGGAGTCGAACCCTCCACTGTTCGCCTGATCGAAACAAAAAAAAAATGATTTTTTGACAATTTCTACCAAGAATCTCTGCTAGATTACCACCCCCCTTCCGCAAACAATTTCTGCTAGATGGACCGAAAAGCAGAAAAAAGTGCTAGAATATGAAATTCTGCTCAATGATCTCTGCCAAGTTGCCATTTTTCCGGAATGATTACTGCTAGATAACCACATTTCTGCAAAGCATCTCGGCTCAGGCCAGTTTCCACAAAGGGTCGCTGCTAGATTGCCATACTCTCCGCAAAAAATCTCTGCTAGCATGCCTAATTCGGCAAAAACGCTATGCAAAATCTTTCAGGTTTTTTCAAAAAAGCTCTGTTAAGTGTAAAACTATCCGCAAAGAATCTCTGCTAGATTGCCCATTTCCTGCTGATTTCGATTTTTTAAGCAAAAAGCAAAGAGTTCGCTGCGGCCGGGAGTCGAACCCTCGCCTTTCGCTTGCAAGCCGAGCCCCTCTACCCACTGCGCCATGCCAAAATCGCGTCATTTTTCAAATTCTCCCAAAACCTCTGAAAATCTCGAAAAACCCGATTTTCACTCGAGTCAAAGAAACCCGATGCAAGTCTCGTTTTTTTTTCTGGGGAGAGGAGGGTTGTTTACAATGTCTAGTGGGGGGCAGCCCGTCGTGAGAATGGCTTCGTCTTTTTTCACGAAAATTCATCTGTGTGGGTGGAATTTTGTGTGGGGGGAATTTGGTTTCTCTGGTTCGTCAGCTTTTTTCACCTGTCTCCCCCATGGCAGCCAATTAATTTTGGGATTGGAATGGGGGGGAGGCGAAATTGGGACTTTTTACAGCTGTTTCACCCGGGATCGTATCGTTAATATTGAATTTGACAGATATAAAAGAAGGCACATGTAATAGCACATAGGTTCTCTTGCATTATCGGGGGGGGGGGATATCGAGGGAAAACAACTTTTTTCTAAGTGCCAATGTTACCCATCGAAAGTGTTTCTAAGCTTTTTTACTATTACGCTTTTTCACTTCTTTTTACACTAAAACCTTCCAAATTTTATTAAAGAACACAAAAATATCGATATTTGGATCAAATTTTTGAATTTTGAATGTTTTTAAGAGTTCAAAAACTTTTAATGCTTTAAATCTAGTTAAACGTTACTAAAAAGACAAGTGGAATATTTACAAACGCGTTACTGGGCTTTTTGGACCTTACGATTTCGGCTCGCACCCTCCCCCCGTTAATGCCAAAGTACCAACATCCGATTCCGATTCTTCCGCATTCCGATTCTATATTTGAGAGGTCATTTGCTTTGTGGGGTTACTAAAAATAGTTTTAATTACCAAAAAGGCATTTTTTTCTAAAAAAAGAGTTAAAATAAATTTTTTTGATATTACTTTCACTATTTTCATATATTTCCGACAAAAAAAATCGTGTTTCAGGTTCAGAATTTTCAAAGTTACTTAAACGATCGAATAATCGGATAAAATCTGCAGACTGCCAAACTGGTAAGGATGCGTGCACGAAAAAATTGTTTTCAACGGGCGACTGGGCCCGCAGCGACGTGGCCCATAATAAGGGGCCCCATTGAAAAAGGGCACATACAAATGAGAGGCACATTATTATGGGGGTGTAAGGAGTATAAAGTGGAATTCATTAGACACGGGTTGCCGACTAATTACATTGCATAATTGGTGTAGACTGCAAGCCTCAGCCAACGCTTGGCCTGTACTTTGGTTTAGGGCGAGGCTTAGGTTTAAGGTTGGACTTAGGCTTAGCTTAGGCTTAGGCTAGGCTCAGGCTCAGGCTTGGGCTTAAGCTTGGCTTAGGCTGAGATTAGGCCCAGGCTCAGGCTTAGGCTTAGGCTGAGGTTTAGGCCTAGGCTTAGGCTTAGGATTCGACTTGGGCTTAGGTTAGGCTTAGTTCAGGCTTAGGCTTAGGTTTAGGGATAGGCTCACGCTTAAGCTTAGGCTTAAGATTATACCTAGGCTAAGCTTAGGCTCTGTGAGTTAGGCTTAGGCTTAGGCGCGGCTAGGCTTGGGCTTAGGCTTAGGCTTAAGCTCACGCTCAGGCTAAGCTCAGGCTTCGGTTTTGGCTTAGGCTTAGACGGTAGCCTACGCACCCACTATCTGAAACCTTTTTCAGAATGGCTAGCTATACCTAGATTTATCGTAGTTAACAAGATCGGATTACACCAAAATTAGAACAATAAAATTAACGTAGTTTACTGAAACGGCCCGCAAGAATGAGGACCCACTTTCAGCTGTCATAACCAGAAATTCATTGAGGTGATTGAGGCCCATGGCAAAAGCGTGAGGTGTTCGGATCACCTGGGTCTTTTTGTGAGGAGCATGAGAGAAGGTGGGTGACGCTCAAC